CAGCCAGGGGCGGATTCAGGAAGGAAGTTCAGTAGGGGCGAAACCAAAAAACCTTGGAAAAAAAATCTGAAAACCTAAAAAAATCTGAACAAAATTTTTTTTAAAAATCTGAAGAAAATTTGAAAATTAAGTGGGGGCGATGGCCCCCACTGTGCCTCATGCAGGTCCACCCCTGGTTTTATTTACGGGTAAATTACACACTGGCTCCCAACCTTTTCAGTTTGTTTTAATTTAATAAGTTTTGAAATAATTTTTAAGATAATCATTGTTGTTATCATGGGGTGTCTTACTAATAAATAAATTTATAATTAATAATATTTCACAAATGATGAACTCAACATAAAAGTTAAAAAAATACTATGTTCAGATATAATTGTCATTAAAAATCATGAGAATGAATGGTGACTACAACACCCCATGCACAGACCAATATTATTACAAATTTAGAGCAAATCCAATACAATTTAATGAATAAACGATCAAACTTAACCTTCTCCAATAAAATTGATCCACAACTTGCGTGACCCACCAACTTTCAAAATTGATTTCTGATTTTTTTTTTTATATGCCCGAATTTCCGAATATCCGTGTACACTCTGCAGAACCCGGAAGATGGACCCGTTAACGGCATCCAAATTGAAAAATCAAAACTATTCAATTTCAACCTCCTACAACCGTTCAACCGCTGTTGCTGCCTGGTACGATTCCAATTCTGCTGCTGGCTGCTCCCGTTGCTGCTCGTTTGCCACCGCCAGTCCTCCAAGGCTCCACCACCTGTCTAACACCGCTTCATTCTTCAAAGTTCAAACCCTAGCCAAAAGGTCACTAAAAGTTTTGCTTTGTTGCTTCTCGTCCGGACCCCCGATCCATTAGTTTTGCTTTGGTCTTTGCATCTGTTTACTGTTACTCTATCTCATTATCTGGAATTTGGAAATATATTTGCTACTTGTGATTTTGTGATTTGGAGTTATATTTTGAGAATTTCATCAAAAATTTAAAATAGGGTACTTGGTCTGTTTGGTTTGTATTAGACTTGTATGTTGGAATTGTAACTATATATTGTCAGCTTAGCTTAGTTTTTTTCATTTCAGTTAGATAGTTGTCCAACCGGTATCTATTTAGCCGTATGCATCCATACAGTTAGTTAGTTGTACAACCGGTATGTGTCCATTCGGTATTTCTGTTCATACGGTTAGTTAGTTGCACAATCGGTATATGTCCATTCGGTATTTGTTAAGCCAGTATTTATTCATTGCTATTTATATACAACTTTGTATATTCATTTTCAATAGATTTGATAATCAATAAAACTTCAATTCATTTCTCATCTTTGAATTTGATATAGTATTAGAGCCATAGTTCCGTAATGTGCTCTTATTCCTCTTCCATTTTATTGATCTAGGCCCCTTTGATTCTTATTATTGTAGAATGAGAATGAAAAATATAACCGTTATTGGGCTCCACACAAGATATAGAAATTCAAAATTGATGGCTTGATGTGATGGATAACGGTCATATTATCATTTTTATAGATGAAAAATGATAAACAAATGGAGGCTAAATAAGAAACAAATTTATAAGATTTTCATTTTTATAGATGAAAAATGAAAAACAAACGGAGGCCTAACAAGTGAATTCCATTCTCAAATGGATCGATAGAATCTGAAGAAAACACTGGTGTGCGATCAACCTTGAGTAAAATCTGTAGTTGATGAACCTTCAAGCTGATGAGTGTATTTCACTCATACTTTAGACATTATATAAACTTGATATTTAACTAATTTCTACAAGTTTTAGAGCATTGTAATGAATGTTTGATGTTATGATATAAGTTGATTAAAATGAAGGAAATAAGTAAAAGTTGGCAAAATTGGAGAAGATGGCTAAATTGTAAGAGATCCAAAGTTCGGGGACTAAATTGAAAATATTCAAAAGTTGTGTCGAACCTCGTAATGAAGATTCAAGAGTGCTAGGAATCAATTGAATGAAGAAAGAAGTCAAAGTGATAAAATATAGGCAAAGTATGTTCACACATCAATTCCAACCAAAAAAGTTATGCTCCGGATTTTCAGTCTCATATTGAGACTCATTTTTGACATAGTAAACCTTCGAATTGAAAAATGATATCTGAATCAAAGTTGTAGCCTTTTGAGTATCTTTCCAATTCTTTTTTAATCGCCTTAATCGGACATCGGGGGGAAACATTATAATAAAAATACTGAAGAATGCGCACGGTTGAATTTTCATTCGAAAAGGGGCGCCGCAGCGCCACGATTGTGGTATGTGTCCATCCAGTATTTCTGTTCACACGATTAGTTAGTTGTTCAATCGGTATATATCCATCCGGTATTTGTTAAGCCGGTATTCATTCACTGCTATTTATACAACTTTGTATATTCATTTTCAATAGATTTGATAATCAATAAAACTTCAGTTAATTTCTCATCTTTGAATTTGATAGTTTGTCTGGAAATATATGGACCTAGATTTTTCCACCACGATGTTCATTTCGTGTCATTGGTCGTCGACCTGCTTCGATTTGTCTAGATGTGATCCAAGCAAGTTCAAGTGCTTGAAGAACATATTTATCGAAACAAATATGATTACCTCAATAAGATATTCCCTTCATTCTTCATCTATATTGTTTACGGAATCTAGTTCTTTTGGGATTATAGTTGATGGTAGTTTCAGTGGTTGATAAACCGAATAATTTAGGCAGTGTAAGTGACAATTTAGACTGGCACTATGAAATCCATTCTTAATTATCGAGAAATAGATTTGGGAGGATTGATGACAGATTAATTTTGAAGATATAAAAGACCGGCTTTTAATCAAGATTGCAACTTCCATGATACTAATGACACTAATTAATAAAAAAAATAGTCATTCTTATATCATTTTTACTTTGCAATCCCCTACAAATGACACCTCATTACAGATTCAATTTTCTGCAGAAGGTTTTCGTTGTCGACCTCAGTGCTATGCATAATTCCCTACGTTTCTTTGTATTGAGTGTTGCCCTGCAATTTTTTGCAATCATTGTTGTGCAGTCGAGATATATCAAGAACAAATCTCAACTTCTCTGCTTCCTGGGAAATGCCTTATACTATTCTTTTCAATATTTTTGTTACCCTGTTCGGTGTTTAACATGTTACATACTTTACCATTTACATGGTCTCTTTTTGAACCATGCCCTGATACTGAGTTACTGATTCTGCTCCTCATTAGGAGTCTCCATGCCGCCTCGACAAAATCTTTCTTTTGTTATTTGGAAAAAGTTTGGTGGTTTTCAATTTGTCAACTCTTGCTGAATGGCTACGTCTTTCCTCCTATAGACCATTTTCTTTTAAATTTTCTTCAATAATGGAACTCATCTTTACCATGTTTCCGTAATAATGCAATCTTAGAGGTCGTAAGCCCCTGTTTGACACATATTATCTCAAAATGCATTTTTTCAAAACTCATTTTTAACCACACATTATTCAATAAAATAATATTTTCATTACATCAATAATTTTTCCTTACTTTTTAACCACATATTTCAATCATCACTATTTAAAATACATTCTTTTCTCAATAATATTCATCAAACACCATGGCATAAGAAACCATCATGAACACCCCAAGTTCTCACCTTCTGGAGTATCTTCCTCCAAGGCTCCAAGACCTCGAGTATCTTATGATCTCGATAGGGAACTATATTTTTTTTCCTAATCGACTTGCTTGACTTGGAGCCCTAATTCAAAATGTTTACATCCGTCACTGACTCGTATCATTGTTTACGCTTTTTAATCTACTCTACCATAAAAGTAAATAAAATGTAAGAAAGAGAGGAAAAATCTAATGTTTTAACAACAGAAAGATAATCAAATAAACTGTCAGAAAGATAATTTGATTTAAGTTATTTACTCAATATGTCCAATAGAGCGTTCGAATCACTTTTTCCCGTGTCATGCTAGCTTGACAATCTATGTCAACTAATATTTAAGCGGAATTTTTTTAGACATCCATTTTATTTGTTGAAAAAATATTTTGAAATAATTGAATTATTGCTTCATCAGAAAATAATACTATTGCTTATCGATTACATATAAAATCGCTCGTTGCTTGCTGTTACTATAGTTGGTTATTTATAGCTTTTCAAGAACGTCCGAGCCAAAATATAGCTTTCAAATTAAGTTCTGAATTAGTAGATGATACCAAAGAGAGTGATGATGCTATAACCCAAAAGGAAGAGACTCATAAAATAATAAAGGCAGATAGAGTTTTTGCACATTTTGGTTAATCCATGATCTACACATCTCGATCAAAAAAGAATCAAAGAGGGAAAAAAAAAAAAAGCAAAATTGATCGATATATTTCTCAATTTATTACAAACTTACACCACCACAAAGATACACACACCTACATATATATTTAAATTCATAAATTCGCTAGCAAAGATTACTATCATACAAAATTTTATTTCTTTCAATCGACTCCTTGAAATACGGAGTTTAGACAAAAGTACGTATATTCGACATCTCTGTACATGCATTAGGAAAATAATAATTTCAAGTTAAGTACTTAAATTGTCACCTAATGTACCTTTAAAAAAATTGTACTTTGAAATAAAAATTTTGTAGACTAATGCTTTAAATTTTGCCAACAAGATATTTTGAATTTTTCAGTAAATGGTTATATTGGAAATTTAAAGGTTAACTATTCGTACCTTTTAAACATGATTTTATCTTGTTCATGAAGGACTAGTGAAATTAAACCATAATCAATCTCCCGAGTGCCGTCAATTCGATATGGCATATCATGATCATTCATGTTCTATCTTAGAAAATTTTATAGCGGAACCTACTGAAATATTTTATCTTTAGCAGTAAAAGCCACCACTAAACTAGTCAATATCTACTGCAACTAACACACTAAAAATGTCTCGGCAATATCTGAAGATCATACCACAAAGAACACACTGCAGGACGGCATAAGGAGAAAAATCAACCTCCCATTTAGGCAACAACTTCCTCCTCACGGAGCAGCATCTGATTAAAGTGCCAAACGCCTGACAATCCAAGCCGAAAAAATAGTTATGAAAAGCAGGAAAAAAAGAGTTCATTGAAGACATTGAAAACCCATGAGCATCCACCATATAAAAGATACTGAAAAATGGGACTGTTGTATCCGTACCATGACCTTTGCCCACTCTTCTCAGCTGGGCGACGTATTCTGATATCTTCTTAATGGATTCCACCTAAGAACAAAGAAAATTCTTAGACGAGTATGTCAACATTATAGGTACATATCCCTCTGTATTTAAATCAGGTAAAAGAATATTTGATAGAAGATGATCCAGTACCTGCTCAGCCAAGAACTCGCTTTCAACAAAATCAGTTAACTGCACATCATTCTTTCGGGAGGCTACCTGTTTTTGAAAAGTCAAAGCATGTCAGTAATGGTATAGAATTTGGTTTCTTCATACGCTAACTTCAATTTATTCCATTAAACCGTTGCTACGATGTCAATGCTTATCTTATTTCATCACTTTTGTCAAGTAGACAAGAAGTTCAGAAGTATGACTTACAGCATGCAAGTTTAGAAGCTTCTCATTTGTCAATTTCTCCAAAGACAGCGCAAGCTCCATAGCTGTTAAACAGAAAAGGCATTTGTCTTTAGTGAACAGTAGAAGTACAGAAAATGCAAGATCAAAAACTCCAAGTAATATATGATAATGAGGAAAGGGAAATATGGGCATGGAATAATTTTGAATTTGTACTACATTTATAGCACAGAGCACACTATAACTTATACAGTATAACATGATAATTTACTAATACTACAACTGCCAATATAGTTCAACATGTAGAACTTTTGAGCATTACTCAACTTTTGAAGCATATTTGTATAAAAATAGAGTACAGGACTTATGTTTTTCTTGAAAGAAAAAATAATTTGAAGAGCAACAAATTTTTTTTTATCCTTGTTGAGTTGGAAAGCCTAGTATACAAGTGCTTTTTTATTTTTGATCATTTACTAAGCGAATTTTTTCAAAAGGTCCATTTTTAAGAGTTGAAAGGAAAAAAGACCTTACTTTGGAATTTTGTCAAAAAATACCTTATTGAAAAAGGAAAAGCCAAACACGATTGTCAAAAAAGTTTCTCAAAAGTATGTGACTTATTTTTTAGCATACATGCACTTATTGAATTGAAAATACCTTATTGAAAAAGGATTACTCGACCTTATATTTGACTGGATCAAGTTAATGTGAATTCTGTGTGCATATGTTTTCTTCTTTTGTTCTTCTCTCTTGTCCTTCTTTGTCTTTATAAAACACACACATACACTCATAAATCTGACAGCCAATCTAATAACACTTGTTCAATAATCATCTAAATGTCATAGAACGTGAGAAAAAGGCTGGAATTAAAAGAAGTGAAGTTTTCTAACTTCGACTTAGAAGGAAATTTTTGGGTTTATGACATATTGGCTAATGAAAGGGGACCGCCTCAGAAAGTTTCAAAAAAGGTCATTTTTCCGTTTTGTCACACTTTTGTGGTTCTTCCAAAGAAAAGAAATTTCTTCATTATTCATACTTTACATTATAATTCCTAAGATTACTAACCATTTTCCAAGCCATAATAGTGACAGATACACACAACGAATAAATTATATACATATGAGATACGCTCCGATTGAAAAATAGCTACCACATGCACCCGATCATCAATAGTAACAACTAAGACGAGTGCCAATGAAAAAACCTAGCTTTAATCATTTGGCAAAGTGCCATTGGACCCAAAAAAATTTAATTAGATACCTTTAATAAACATTATCAGTGCATACAGATGACATCTATTTGTAAATGGGTTAATTTCACAAATGGTCACTGAAGTTACCTGAAAATTTCAAAACGGTCACTGAAGTTTCAAAGTTTCAGCACCGGTCACTGAAGTTTGAAATTTCTTTCACAGACGGTCACTGAATTTTCAGATATTTTGGGCAAGTTTGAGGCATTTTTTCGACAACTTCCGACCACCACAACAGCCGATTTCGGATACCGTTGGAAAGCCCACGATGTCCTCTTCAATTNTTTATTCCGGCCGAATCACTTGGAGTTTTGGGGAGATTTTTGGTGATAATTGAAGAGGACATTGTGGAATTTTCAACGGTATCCGAAATCAACGGTTTTGGTGGTCGGAAGTTGCCGAAAAATTGCCTCAAACTTGCCCCAAAAATCTGAAAATCTGGGCAGATTTTCACAATTTTCGGTTGCCCATTTCATGGCTTTATTCCGGCCGAATCACTTGGAGTTTTGGGGAGATTTTTGGTGGTAATTGAAGAGGATATCGTGGGCTTTCCAACGGTATCCGAAATCGACGGTTTTGGTGGTCGGAAGTTGCCAAAAAATTGCCTTAAACTTGACCAAAAAATTTGAAAATTCAGTGACCGTTTTGAAATTTTCAGGTAACTTCAGTGACCATTTGTGAAATTAACCCATTTGTAAATAAATAAAAGTTTGAAATAACCATTTGTTGATGTCAGCATTGCATAGACAAGGCAAAGTTTCATTGGACCAAAAAACATTAATGAGATAACTTTAATAAATATTATCAGCGGATGCAGATGACATATACTTGTAAATAAATGCAAGTTTGAAATAAAACGAAGCATAGAGACAAATTGGTCCCCATTTGTTGATGTTAACATTGGATAGAGAAAATATTATACAAAAATGTATGGCAGAAGCACATAAAAGTTTAATAACCATTTCTTTATAGGATAAACATAGCCATCCACAGCACAAATCTCCATAGAAATTGTCTATGTATAGTATACAACATGACTCATAAAAGAACTTATTACCATATAATGCATCCCCTTTTTCGATATGGTCGAACTCAGAAAGTGGCATCAAAATTGACTGCAGCTTCACTTTTCCACCACGCTTGTTCTGGATTTCATTGAACAAACAATATTATTCATAATTTTAACAAAAATTGTGAAAAAAGAAAAGAAAAATAGAACTAAGCAAATGATCAAACACCTGATATTCCATTAATTTCTCAGCGTGGTCTCTTTCCTCTTCGCTCGACTCCTTGAAAAACCTAGAAGAGAACAAATCAGAACCCCTGATTTACATAATATTCAATATAAGAAAAAGGTTCAAATGTTATAAAGAAGTTTTGAGATTTACTTGGCAAGACCCTTGAGGGCAACGTTGTCCCTATCAAAATAGGCAAACATGGCATGGTAGACATAGGAAACATTGTACTCCACGCTGTAATTCATAAAAAAATGTTCGAAAAAATCATTAGACTTCACAGAATTAGAATAAAATTCAAAACCGTATATAACAAATTATAACCCATACAAAATTTCGCAGAAAAACAAAAGAAAAATTTTAATCTACAGATTTCCAAACGGAAAATAAACTGACGAAGAAAACCCACTTGATTTGTTCATTAATAGCGGCTTCACACTCATCGGCGTACTTCTGGCGAGCGAGTGAATCTTGGGGAAGAGTCGGCACAAGCATAAGCTCCTTCTTCACCTCTTCAAAGGGCTCAAAAACGACGCCTGTTAAAGGCTTGTTGTTCGTGTGCTTCGTCGCACACAGCACAAACCCATTTCCCCTCTTCCCCACAAAATTCGAAGAAGTGGCAGAGGTATACAGAGAACTCAGATTATCGCCACGGGAATTCAATAACCCAAAAGCCGGTGCAAGTTTCAGAAGCATTTTCAGAGCGACTAATGTAGAGAAAATTTTCTGGAAAGTATGAGAGGGAATATGCGTGGAGGTGGATAAGGAAGGTTGGTTGTATGTATATTGGGAGAGAGGCGGTGTGGACCGTTGGATGGGATATAGATTGATGGTTAGGATTGAATGTGGGAAGAGGGCGCGTGGCGTGCTCGAGGAATAGTGTGGAATTGCAGAAAATCTGGGCTGATCCCGGAGCAAAGGAGAAAAGGTTAAAAATATTTGTTTCTTAAAAGTTGACAGCAAAATCAGTCACTAAAGTTTGTTAGAAGTTCCAATATTGTCACTCTATTAGCGAAATGTTAAAAATGGGACGACAAAACGAAAACCTAGAAGCCCATTTTGTTTCATTTCGATGAAAATTGCATTTGAATAATGCGTGTAACTAATTGGAAGTAAATTGATTTCTTGTTTCATCAGTTATTTTCTTAGCAATGTTTAGACGTGCTTGGCAATAGAGTTAAAAATTATTTCAGCGCTCCGTGGTGCTAACATATCAATGGGATTTGACGTTAATCTCACTAATAAAGTGACTAGATTGGAATTTTTCATAAAATTAACTAACTAATTTGAAATAAAATAGACTTTAAGAATTAACTCGAAATTTTGCCGGAGACCAGATCAGAAAATAACTCTTTAGAGTTTGTTTTTTTGCTGGGTTTCAATTAATTTATGATATCTTTTTGGTGTAAAGCTGTCATCCAAAACATGCCAAAAAAGGTGGGACAAATTATGTAATATTTCATTATTTGTGTGTACCTAATTCTCCAATGGTGTGAATATTTGGAGTAAAAAGTTTCAAACACCCAATGAAATTTGTTTGCTGTCATGTTATAGTCACTGACTTTGTTTTCACCATCAACGGTCACTCAACTTATTAGAAATCCACCCAATGCATCACTATAAATACACATGTTTCATATGTGTCCCATGTGATTAGACGGACTCCAACGTGGCAAGAGACGGCGTGATAACGCTGCCACGTGAAGACTCGTGTTCCTAAAAAGAAAACACACATTCAAATCAACGAGCACTAATCTCCCAAAATCAGATTCACTCCCACACAAACCTTAACTGGAAAGAACCCTAGAAATCAATTTGGGAAAATTACTTCTCTTCAAGTCTGCAAAATCAACGAAGGAGGAAATCAGTGACAAAAATAAGTAAAGTCCAACCACATTTGAAGGGGTGTCGATTAGCCACATGGATGCAGCAAAAAGAGGTAAATCATTCGGCATATTCGATTTTCAATGATTTTACCCCAAATCATATATAAAACATGAAACCATCTAAATCTTATTTCAAATTACGAATAAGCCATAAAAAAAGGTTTATAAACTGCAATGTTTGGTATACGTGGTTGAGGAACAAAAACTAGTAAGTGGGTGGAATGTAGTAATTGCCCGCCTTTGTCACCAAGTTAGAATAATAATTTTTAGTTACCCATCAATTTCCACTGTAAAAAAATGTTAGCTTTATAAATGGCGAGCATTGTTACTCTTAGGGTGCGTTTGATTGTGAGGGTGGAAAATGGGTGGAAAAAAAATATTTTACACGGAAAAGATTTTCCTAGAAAATGTTTTGCAGGGAAAATGATTTCAAATGTGTTTGATTGGTATAATTTTCCAATAGAGAAATTTTTAAATTTTCTATTCGTTTGGCTTTGTTTTACATGGAAAGTGTTTGTTAAAGTGATAATTTTTTCCACAATTGGTTATAAAATTTGTTTCCATTGCCAAAAAGTAAAAAAAAAAAAAAAAAAAAAAAAAAATTTTTTAAAAAAAAAAAATTTTTTTAAAAAAATTT